AAGTATGTTCATCAGCTGAAGAGCCTGCCAAGTTTACAACTTTATGTTTAAAGTCCCCCTCTAATTAGTTCATCTGTGTGGAGTGGCAGCATTGGGAAGCCCCTTGGAAGTAGTCTGACAGTCCCTTACACAATGAAATAATAGATCCCATGGGGTCCACTTTAAATGTATCAGGTTTTTCATTAAAGTAGTAACTGAACAAATTCCTGTTCTAGTGGAACTTAAATCTGCCTTAACTGATTGTCATCTGGGGAGATCTGACTCTCAGACAGCATTTAGCTATGTCTGTGGACACTGTTGACTGCCACAACTGGCAGGTGGGGAACTAGTGCTGTTGAACATCCTGCAATACCCGCCCCCACACACAACCCCCTTCCCCTAAAGAATTACCTGACTCTGAAAGTCAATAGTGCAGAGGATGGGAACACTGCTCAATGTCTGCTTTTTGACAAAGCACTAGTCAATTTCTTTTTCCATATATGGCACATTAAAAAAGTAATAGTTGTTGGCCCTCCCTGGTGGTACAGTGGGTTAAAGCACAGCACTAAGAAGCTAAAGCCACTTCCACATGAGTTCAATTCCCGTCTGCCCCGGAGGTGACCACATGGCGTGGCAGACCTCTCCTGACCCAGCCGCTGCTCCCCTCAGCAGTGTACTTCGTTGATCTGCCTGTTGTGCTCCCCACTCTGTGTGTGGTAAATCCTCTCACTGTCCCTGCACCTCTTGCCTGTACCCCCAGTTCTGTATACATAAATAAATCTTTAAAAGAAATTTTTTTTAAAAAGTTATAGTTGTATTAATAGCTACTCTCATACAAATTCTATATAAAAGCCCATACCAGTGGAGTAGGGGCTGCCATTTGGAAGCATGGGGTATAACTTCCTAATGGATAACCCACCTTAGAGCAGGCAGTGGGTATGAGCACTAAAAATTCTATTACTTTGTATTTGAAGTTAACTAGGAACTTTCCATGTTTGTCTATGATCTGTTCAAAGTCAGGAACAGCAAAAATCATCTGGCTGCCACAAACTCATATAAGGGTGGATATATAATTCTACTGAAGAAAAATGAAAAATTGGGACAAAAATGGAATCTTCCACATTCCTCCTTAGTTTTTCTTCCAGTTCAATATTTCTGTCCCTTCAATCATATCCCAGAAGATGCAACTTTTAGATTTTTCACCACATTGACAATGTTTCCAGACCAATTCAGTATTCCTGTTAAATCACAATGCTCAAGAACTGAACATGATATATTACATGGTCCCTAAGTGAAAGGTTGGTGGCACATTCTTCCTTGACATCCTACTTCCTTTGTCTACCTAGCTTTATTTTTCATCCTTTATAGTCTCTACTCAAAGCACTCACTCATAAGCTGTGCGTGGCTCCATAAGGTGCTAAAGATGTATCAGTGAACAAGACAAATGTTGTACTTTTATGGCTTAGAATTCAGTTGGAGAGAAAGAAAAGACATAACTAGCTACATAGCTGATCAACTAACTGCAACTGGAAAACTGCAACTGGCAACATCTGAGGGTGAGTTAGAACTATGAGTATGTGTGCTTATGGGTTTTCCTCATTACTGCACATAACACATTTTATTGTAATTAGTTGTTTATCTTTATTCATCACTGAGTGGAAGGTATAGAGATTGACTAGACTGTATTTTTATAGTTTTGTAGAACTTCTGTTGAATAAAAATATGAATAATTGTTTGTGGAATGCATGTTTACATGATCAAGTGGATTTGACCAAAATAATCGTGTGGCAAGATAAGACTTGAGCATGAGTCTAATGTTCATACTTTTACCTCTCCACAGAATTATCAATAAATGAAAATTCTAATAAAAGTTAATGTTAGCCTATTACACAACAAATTAAACCATTAACTTATACATATACATTATTTATGAACTGCGCCTGCTCCATGAAATTATGTACAAATATGTGTCATACAATGCCTATCTTTACACTAACATGGGTACACTAATGACCTTATATTCCTTGTTTAATATTTTGTAATGGGATATGTTAAATTATAAATAAAAACTTATTTAGTGGAAAAATAAAAAAGAGCTTAGGCATAAATAAATGGTAACAACAGATAATGTTTATATAGCAAATCCAAATACATATGAACTTGGGTTATTATCTTTAAATTCAGTAAAAAGTAATTCCTTAAATGTATAATTCCTAATTTTACACTTCACAGAATGATGCTGTAACAAAAAACAACAACAACAAAAAACAACTCTTGTACATGGGTACATAATAACAGTATGGTCAGGCAATCATCCCAAATTAAAGAATTAAAAATATTTTAGGCCCTCCCTGATGACGCAGGTGGTTGAGGGCTGCACTATGAAGCCCAGCAGTGGCTGCTTCAGTGCAAGTTTGATCCCCGCTCCAGGGGTGACCTACATGGCACAACAGACCTCTCCTGTCTCACCTGCTGCTCCCCTCAGCAGTGTATTTCAGTGGATATGCCTGTTCTGCTCCCTACTCTGTTTCTAGTGAATCTTCTCACTGCCCCATACCTATGGCCTGTACCCCATTTTTGTATGCATATGTAAACGTTTTTTAAAAATAATAAAATAAAAATATTTTATTTGAACTTTTTCTTGAATTTATAGAAAGTACAAATATAATACCTACATTGCTAGTGCATATTTTACTTTCCTGCAAAAGAATTAGTCTAGTCTTATGGAATAACCTAGGTAAATAAAGGGTTTTAGCGCCATCTAGTGAATGAAGGTGGCAGAAAAATAATTCCACAAGAAGAGTGCTACTTGAGAACCAGAAGAAAATTGCTAATACAGTGTAACAATCCAATTTAAGAGAATAAAATTGTAGCAATAATGTCTCCTTGTATTATATTTTATTAATAGATGTAGAACTCGAAAAAATTATGGCTATTACTATTACATTTGTTTTAAAATTTTAATTCTAATAATCATTTTTAAATTACCAGATATTATAATTATAGAATGTCTGAAATTAAAATAATCTACTATGCTGGAGGTACCACTAGATAATACAATCCCATTAAAACACTGTCCTGTTGGGCCCTCCCTGGTGGCACAACGGGTTGGGACGCAGCACTGAGAGCTGTAACCGCTTCAGTATGAGTTCAAACCCTGACCCTGGAGGTGACCCATATGTTGCAGCAGACCTCTCCTGACACCCCCCTCCCACCCGCTGCTCCCCTCAGCAGTGTACTTCGTCAATCTGCCTATCCTGCTCCCCCCACTGTCTTTGGTGAAGCCTTTCACCACCCCTGCACCTCTGGCTTGTACCCCAGTTCTGTATACATAAATAAATCCATCTTTAAAAAAAAAAAAAAAACACTGTCCTGTCTTCCAACTTGTTGCCAGATGTAAAGGGTATTGGCTTTTTCCTATAGGCCTTGGAAAGCTATCACACACTTTGAACTGGGAAGATTATTTTGGTAGCTGTATGCAGGACAGATTCTCATCAAAAGTGCCTTGGACATATAAGCAGTTAGGGGTGGATATTAATCTACACAGGAGAAGTCAAGGCTTGGATTGAAATGGTAAGTGTTAAGTGGGTTTGGGGGTCATTATAACATGCATTGGGTATCTCTAGACTATTGTAGCAATTCTCTAACATTTGGTCATTACCCCCACTTATTAGATGGTTAAGTTCTTTGAAGAAGAATTGCTTTGGCATAAATGTTAAATAATAATTAAAAAAACAATGATTTAATTAAAAAACATTAAAACATTTAGAGGTCACTTACTTCAAACAGATAACTTGTGGAGAAAAAAATAGTGGATTTTTTCCAATTATTTAAAAAAAATTAAATTAAAAAAATACTTTTGTGGAATTTGAGCGAAGTCTGATGTTAACTATGTATATTACCCACCAACTCTCAAATGTTATGAGCATTTTATTATAATTACAACCTTTATCTGGTGGGTGAAAAGCAGTTTGAAATAAGTTGGTCCTTTTATATTGCATCTTTGAAAAACAAGATCAACTCATCTATTGCCACTTCTTTTCAAAAAATATACTACAATTTATTTTAAAATGTTGACAATCAGGAAAACTACTAATTTTTTCAGATATATACATGAAAGTAGAGCTTGCAAGTTTTGCCCTCAAGACAAAATATGTATGCATGTTAAAAACCTACCTTTTGAAAATGGTTAACTTAGGAAATTAGTAACACAAAATCAGAACAATGATTAGCTCTGGGGGAGATAAGGAACAAGAGACTTTAAGTTGCTGTTAGCATTTTGGTTCTTAAGGTACAGGAGAAATGATACATATATGCTTAAATATACGTTTAGGTGTATGACATTACTTCACATTCAACAAGAACCATTCTTCCCACTCAATGTCAAGATTAAATTATACTGCCTTCCAAAAGGGAGTCAAACTGACAAATTAAAAGGTTTATACTGAACATAAACTATAAAAATGAGAAAGAATAGATAGCCTATAAAAATTCGCTTGTGGGTCCTCCCTGGTGGCACAGTGGGTTAAAGCACAGCACTAAGAAGTTAAAGCCATTTCAGCATGAGTTTGATCCCTGCCCTGGAGGTGACCACATGGCGCGGCAGACTTCTCCTGACCCACCCGCTGCTCCCCTCAGCAGTGTACTTCATCAGTTGGCCTGTTCTGCTCCCACTCTGTCTCTGGTGAATCCTCTCACTGCCCCTGCACCTCTGGCCTGTACTCTGGTTATGTATGCATAAATAAATCTTTTTAAAAATTCACTTGTAATATTTCAACTACACAGTAACACTGTTAGTATAGCAAAATAAAACTTAAATGTATGCTATTCCAATCTAAAATTCTAAAATACTCTAACCAAAAATTTTACCTTCTTAGACTGTTTATTTTGTAGTGTCTAATAATATTTAGATGCTAAAAGACATAAAATATATTTCTATTTACTTTAATTCCTAAGTTAGAAGACTCCAGTAAGGGCCATTATATCACAAATCTGAATCTTCAAAGTTACCAGGTACCCACCTGAATTCAGGAAGAACTGGGGAGAGTCTCCATGAATGCCTACTGTGCCTGGTCCCAAGGAGTTAGACAGGGTATTTACAAAGGAAAATACTCCACTCATGATTCCAAAACCCAAGCCAGAAACTAAGGAGGAAGAAAACACTATTAAAATTTTTTCATGCTATGATTTCTCTTCAAAGCAAAGTGCCAAGTATTAATACTAGTTTTTTGTTAAAGGTGAAAGAGTACACATGCAGTTGGAGAAGCAATATAAAAGGCTCCAAAAAGGCAAGTGGTTAGCTATGAGAGAATAAAGAGAGAGGGGGTAGAGAGAGGAAGGAAAGGAAATTAACTGGAATGTAGCAGAGAAATGAAAAAGGTAAGAAGAAATATCTAGACAGGCACAGAATCAGTAGGTAAGACAAAGATGGATATGATGCTAAAGTGTGGCTTTACTTTATGATAATGGAGTCAGTAAAATTAAATTTGATAGCTTGGAATTGTATTTGATGGGTGAGAGAATACTGTAAAGAGTGACCCCAGGGCTAAACTAGGGTAACTAAATTTAGAGACCTAGACCCATTCTTTAAAATTCTAAAAGAAAAACACACAGAGGTATTCTCTATATTAATATGAAGAGTATAAGCAAGTCACGGTAACCACCTACAGAAGGTAACAGACTATCACATAAAATTGTTAACTTGAGTGTATACATGTTAAAAGCCCAACTTTTAAATCTTGTTAATATTTAGTGGGCACACAGATAAGAGTTACCTGCAATAATTTCCCTTTACATAAGCCCTGGAAAGTTGGAAAAAGAATGTACACCAATATGCCAAGGTGGTAATAAAATACTATTTGAAACCTACAAAAAAAAATAAAAAATAAAAATGGCTTTCATGCCAAATCTGATATTTTTTCTTAATGACACTGGGCAGTTCTCACTTACCATAAGCGAGTAATCGCATAGAGGGTGCTGGTTCATCTGGATTTATACTCTTCAAACCCTCACTGGCTTTTCTAAAATAAAAAACACAATTTTTGTAAGTAATATATCAGGAAAATATACAAGATAACTTCAAAATCCAAATACTTACTGAGACTTTGTTCAGCTTCAACTCTACATCTAAACCCATTTAAACAAAATACAACAAAATTTCAATTAACTAAAGCCACCTAACTTTAGCCTTTTACTGACTCCCAGATAGAAGAGAAAAATAAATAAATATATAAGTAAACAAGTCATTAGGACTGAGTTTAATAAGAAAAAAAGCAATCCTTTCATTGTTTACTGAGTTCAATAAATACTTAGTTCAATATCTTAGGGAATCTAATACTGAATTTTAAGCCACTTCCCAATGTACTGTATCTTCATCCCTTCTTTGTTGCTACTTTGTTCTATCTTACTTTACCATCACCTCTACCTCCCACTGTGCAGAACTTAAATCATATTTATTGTTCAAAGTCCATTCGGGCAGCAATTTCTCAAAGAAACCACCTTTAACAATGGTTGGTAAACACCAAACCTTGTTTTTAAATGCTACAATATTAATAGTCTGAACTGTCATATGGGTACTTAAACATATGTTCTCTTGATTCTAAAATATCAGGAAATATTTTAAATTATTTTTATGTCCTCAGTCAGATTTTAGGGGAGTATAAAATGAGACCTTCAGAAAAGGAAGTGAATATGTGACTCAAACAACAGAATGCTGCTCGGGAAGAAATGATCTTTGGAGTCATCATATCCAAATATCTGTACAGGCAGACCATGAGTCCTGCTCACCCCTCAAACCGCCACCCCACAGAGATATTAGGAATGCTAAGTGTGGTTGGTCAGTTCCACCGCTGTCACTATTTCTAACCTTGGTTGAATAGAAACTGTAACAATGATACTGACTCTAAGGATATTTATATATTCACTACAAAGTACAATTATTAAAGCAAAAACAGAACCAAAGATTTCAGAACAACTTTTCAACAGTTCTGAAACAAAAATAAATTAGGTTAACTCTAAAAGGAGGAAAATAAATTAACCAGAATATATTTATATTTTGGTCATTATGTTAACTGAAATTTCCAGGTATTCATTATAGTTTGCCTATGTGTTACATAAAACATCACTGATTACATCAAATTAAGACAATCAGAATTCAATCATAGTAGTAGTAAAAATAATGTTTAAAGTCCTTTGTTTTGGCCCTCCCTGGTGGCACAGCGGGTTAAAGCACAGCACTGAGAAGCTAAAGCCACTTTCACATGAGTTCAATTCCCGCCTGCCCCAGAGGTGACCACATGGCTAGCAGACCTCTCCTGACCTGCCCGCTGCTCCCCTCAGCAGTGTACTTCGTCGATCTGCCTATTCTGCTCCCCACTGTCTCTGGTGAAGCCTCTCGCTGCCCCTGAACCTCTGGCCTGTACCCCAGTTCTGTATGCACAAATAAATAAATCTTAAAAAAAAAAAAGTCCTTTGTTCTTCTAGATGCCAAAGAATTTGCCATTTCAGTGTTCCTCATTTGGAAGCATCATAAGGATAGGAATTAACAACTTAAGCAGGCCCTCCCTGGTGGTGCAACAGGTTAAAGCACAGCACTATCAAGCGGGCCACAACCACTTCAACACAAGATCAATCCCCAGCCAGGAGTCTGACCCACATGGCATGGCAGACCTCTGCTGACCTGCCTGCTGTTCCCCTCAGCAGTGTACTTCGTGGATCTGCCTGTTGTGCTCCTCACTCTGTCTCTGGAGAATCCTCTTACCACCCATGCACCTCTGGCCTGTACCCCAATTCTATATGCATAAATAAATAAATATTCAAAAAAAATTAAGTGACTGTTGGCTTCTTTCTTTGGTGCAGTAGCTAATTAAAATATCAGGTTTTCCTAAATAAACTTATTTATCACAGGAATGTTGTTAAAGGCTTAAGTATAGCTTAGACACAGATACATGCACATTTATATGCAAATATAAATAGCAATTATCAACAAATGCATAAAAAGTATAGTACAATAGAAACAACACATTTTGAAGGATTTGTTTTATACAAACTTCTCAGTAATGAATAAGACATTTGCTATTTGGTAAAGCAAAGTATTACAATCACAAATAAATTAAATACATACACATGAATTCAAAAGTTTAATAAACTTCCTCATTTTTGATGTTGCAAGTTTGTGGGGGAAAGGTCTGTGGCACTAATAGTTCTCAATACTAACTTAAGGGAAGTGAAAAAGTACAAAACATTGTCAGTTTCCGTGTTCCTGATGGATAGAACAAACAACTGATGGCCTAAGTGCAGTGTTTTTAGTTGACCATTACACTGATGTGGAAACTTCTTTGTTGGCAAGAACAAAAAACTAAAAGCCCATTTTTAAAAACTATAAACTCAAAATACTACCAATAATTCACACCATGCCATTTTTCCCATCTGTTGATTCTTTTTGTATATATTATATAAGGGAAAGTATCAAGAAATATGCATATAAATCAGAAATGCCACTTCAGAAATTTAAAAGATAAACTTATAAAACTGCAGCAATGGCAGCCCTCCCTGGTGGCTCAGTGGGTCAAAACACAAAACTAAGAAGCTTAAGCCACTTCTGCATGAGTTGATGCCCACCTGCCCCGGAGGTGACCACATGGTGTGGCAGACCTCTCCTGACACACCCACTGCTCCCCTCAGCAATGTACTTTGTTGATCTGCCTGTTCTGCTCCCCACTCTGTCTCTGGTGAATCCTCTCACTGCCTCTGCAACTCTGGCCTATACCCCAGTTCTGTATGCATAATTTTTTTTAAAGATTTATTTATTTATGGATACAGAACTGGGGCACAGGCCAGAGGTGCAGGGATGGTGAGTGGATTCACCACACACACAGCAGGGAGCAGAACAGGCAGATAGATGAAGTATACTGCTGAGGGGAGCAGCGGGCGGGTCAGGAGAGGTCTGCCACACCATGTGGTCACCTCCGGGGCAGGTGGGCATCAACTCATGCAGAAGTGGGTTTTAGCTTCTTAGTGCAGTGCTTTAACCCACTGCGCCACCAGGGAGGGCCCAAATAAATCGTTTTTTTTTTTTTTTAAATGGGATTGCTAGGCTATAGACAATCTGTTTAAAAAAATTGCAGCAATGGCTATCATACTGTTCTTCTATAAACAGAAGATTTTCTGAAATTATCAAATATTTATGGTATCAGAATTATAAGACCTTAAAACTGAATTAAATAATAATTGTTTCAACACAAACAAAAAACATTCCTAATTTACACACAGAATATATGTACAAAATACAGTATCATAACTTGGATTTTTTTTAAATGGGTGTAGAAAGGACTGTCACTTGTGGCCACATATCAATTCCTGACCTTGCAACTCTTTCCTAGGCTGAAAGTTATAATTTATTCATTCAGTTAGTCAAGATGAAGTACTTACTATTCCTAAGGTTTGATCCAGGAGATAAGTTTATATTACACTGCAATGATAACCACTTTGGATCAATTCTATATACCTTTAATAACTGGTTGGTGCAAACTCCACATTTTAATCTTGGCACCAAATTCAGTAGCAAAAACTTGATACTGGTAGTACTTTCAACTTACAAGTTAGATTCTACTTTGACAATGGAGACTGTTGAAATATCAATCAAACTAAAGTTCCTGTATTTGGGTACAGTATAACTTAAGAGTAATTGGGAAGTATCTATGTGTTTAGTCATGAATAAAGTATAATAATTCTCAAATTTGTTTTAATACATAACTATGTAACATCCAACATTCCAAAAACTTGCTACAAAAAATTGTACATAATCCAAAGGCTTGTTAAAGATGCATTTGCCTCTCTGAACTTACTGGCAATGGGAATCTGCAGAATGACAGCCATAATACCTGCCTTATATGGACCTACCCCCTCCATGCCCTCATTAAAAATGGAGGCCTGTGTGCAGCTTATAGTTCTATGAAACCACAGGTTAGAGCCATTAAAGATTTCATTTCAAGAGGAAACTAGAAAGTAAGAAGACAATGAAGACAAATAGTAAGATATTCATTTAGCCACTTTGGTTAAGTCAGACTTTAGAAATTGAAGTCCTAAGGAGTTGCTGTGAAGTCCTGTATTTGAAATTATGACTGTTTCAAAATTAGAACCATTATATGTGGAGAAGTTGACCAAAAGGGAGCCAATGATGCCGGAAAACCTAGTGCAACTGGAGGCTCGTTGCACTACTACAGCCTCCAGTCAGGGGTGAGGAGGGTCACTGCTCTCTGTAGGGACCCTCTCTTAGGCCACAGCAGAATAATGTGCTGGGTCCTGGCACAGGTGAATACCAGGACTGGCAAAAAGGGGCATGACTACTGACATGAAAAAACAGGGACCAGAAGGGTTTGGAAGCCACTACTATGTCTCTTGGTGGAAAAATGAGAAGCTTTTAGTCTTGAAAGAAACAGGGTAACAAATGTTGACAGAGATCCCATTTGCCTATGCAACCCATGAATGGGGCAGAGGTCAGAAAGGAGATTTTGACTAACTTAATACTCTAGAGTAAAAGTTAAATTTCAGAATGGCAGTTAACTGCTGCACACCAAAATATTCAAGGACAGTTAAATGTTAAGGATATGGTATTCCTGTGAAAATTTAAATGCTATCTTTGAAATCTGTTTGTGGCTCCTTAATATTTCCAAGAGATAACAGAAATCTCTTTTTAAAATCATTTCTAATATTTTACTTCTCTGCAATGGCTTCCTAATTTTCAATTTGTAATTTAAATGCTTCACTATTAAATTTTTGTATGCTATTAAAAGCAACAAGTATAAAAACACAGAAGGCCTGGCATGTTGGCAAGAAGAAATGATCAGAAACCTATTATAAGAGATATTATTTAGGTTCTGTCTTGGTTACAGCTGTGAAATTTATGCAATACTTAATTATCTCATTTCCAGAATCAAAGAGATTATATTTATCACTCTACTAACCAAGTCTTAAGTACATAGCCAAAGTCAACCTCATAACTCCCTGAAAGAAAATAGTGTTCCAAGTTCTAGCTGTGTTTCAAATCAGTTGTTTCATGTGAGGTCTTCATGGACCATCTAGGCAACCTACTTTCTGGCCTAAAAAGGGAACTTGTGTCCAGTTTTTTAAAAGAAAATGTATTTTTCTATTATAGATATGAACTGTCATAATATGAACCCCTATTCTCCCCCAAACTGTCAGAATTATTTATTTTAGGTGATGGCAAAGAGAAACATCTATAAATTTTAAGCTTCAATGGTTTTTGCTGTTGTTCCAATTTATTTAGTTTTCTAATTTATTTTTCTCCATGTACTTATCTTCTAATATGTATTATTTTTGTTCACTTATTCTTGTCTGTCCCTTTCCAAAATAATAAAGTTCCCATAAGTACAGTTTTGGGTTTTTTTTTTAGTTTTATTTTAATTTAGAAACTATATGCCACTTGGCAAGCTTTCACTATTCTGGTTTTAAGAATTAATTTCAGAAGTGAGAAAAAAAAGAATTAATTTCAATCATATGTCAGGAAGTATTCTCTAACATTCTAGAAAGTGACATGATTCAAATACTTGAGTATTTGTAGCATAAAAATTTAATCATTAAATTTATCATTTAAACTAAAAAAGGACCAGTGATTTGAAGCAAAACTTGGAGGATTTTTTTCTAAATAACTAAAAGATTTTAAACAAAAGTTTTTCCTCTAAATGTGATGAGAAGAAATTTTGTTGAAAGCTAAAGCTAGTAAATTATGATTATGTTTGAGAGACGAAATGAAAATAGCCAGAACAGTCCTAAATAAAACTTTTATTTTTTTCCTAATGTTGAATTGAAAAGACAGTAATATCACAATTCAATCTAAAGAAGACTGAGAGGAAAATATTAGGCAAAGAGAAAACTTCACTTCCCAGTGATTTATGTGGATGTTATTGTTCATATAACCCAGGGTCAGGTATTAAAGATAATAACAGATTTTGTTAGGATAGTATAGTTCACAATAGGCTAAAGGATAAAGTCATGGAAAACTAGGTCTGTGACAGGAAATGAGGAAAACAGACCATTGCAGTTTTAAGATGGAGCATAAGGGCAGTCTAGATTCTAGTAGAAATTATTTGGAGATACATTTCAGTTCACCTTAAAAGAAACTATGAAGTAGGTTAGAATTACAAAGATAGGAAGCATTTCCTTATGAACCAGAAATTAAACTTTTTACTGGAAGAACTGTGTGAACATCTCTGGGGTACTTTGGGAAATGGATGAATACAACTTATGCTGTGTACAGTCTGATAAAATAAATATTGAGCTTGAAAATGTTCTAAAGTTTGTTGGAAATTACTTATAGAAACCATTACATGACAAAAATGATTATTTTGCATTAAGGGAGAAATGGTTGATAATTCGGAAATCTAAAGTATGAATTGTAGCTGTGATCTTCAAATAAAGAGCAACTAGAGAAATAACTGCATGTAAATATGCTGAGTTCACCTGTCAGAGAGTTGGGAAAAGCATAGGCAATCCAACAAATGTAAGTTCTCATTGCTATCTTGAATGAGGACTTACATTAAAAAAGTGTTCAGGACAAATGTTGGCAAGATGTTTGTACTTTCTCTCTACTAGCTGCCCCTGTGGTTTTTGGCTTTTGTGAAAAACACTTGTCTCTAAGAAGACCCTCTAAGAACTTACTATGTGAGGAACTACATCTCAGCAGCAATTATGAACCTAGTGACCTGAACCATTTTGGCTTTCTCATTATATGAGGGAATTAGAGACCCAACAAAATAGTTTCCTTAAAACTGCATTAAATTTTCATTGTGAATTGTTATTGTTTGAATTCGACTTTAAAGAACATATGAGAATAAGTGCTGTTGATTCTTTAAATTGATGGTTGGCAGCTTTATTTTGATGCTATATGTTTTAATGGTTATATTCTCACTCATTTGCATACTGTTATTAAAAATTTGTTATTTAAAAAAAAATTTTTAAAGGTCAAAAATAAGAATTGTGTGAACTTCCTAATTTCCTTTCTCAATTTATTTATCCATGTATTAGCCTTGCACATGTGGCTTTATAATGCTGAATCAGAATACATCCCTGGAAAAAGCTAGGACAGTTAGAAGAAATGAATTTTCAATAAGAAACTATGAAAGATTAAAGTCAATTAAAACTTTTGGGAAAATAATTATAAAAACCAGATTGAATATGTGAATTTTGCCTATGAAACACAGAAATAGCCAAAATTTGAAAAGTTTACCATTATAACCTCCATAAAAATTCCTACTAAGTGAGAAAAACTTTTGAATAATTTCATTGGGGGCCTCCCTGGTGGCACAATGGGTTAAAACACAGCACTATGAAGCTAGCTGAAGCCACCACGGCAGCACTAGCTTGATCCCTGGTCAGGGAGCTGACCCACCTGCTGCTCCTCTCAGCAGTGTATTTCAGTAAATCTGCCTGCTCTGCTCCCCACTGTCTCTAGTGAATCCTCTCCCTGCAGCATCTCTGGCTTATATGCATAAGTCAATCTTTTTTTAGAAATAATTTCATTGGTTTTTATACATATAAAGCATTCAAATGGGGGCTGGCTCTCTTTTATGTCAGGAGTTTATTATTAGTCTGATCCCTTCAGTATAAAGTTATCATTCAGCCTTCCGCCAAGAGATTTTTTCAACCTCAAATGATTCTTGCTTGAATCCAGTATTTCATTAGGTGCCACAAAATAGGAGATTAAACAGAACCCTTTTTAAAATTAGCTATAATAATTATTATTAGCTATAGATTACTAACAATAATTATTTTTATAAAAGAAAACTTTTCCAATTAGCAAGCTGGCTTCATGAAATAGTTTTGCAGGACAAATGCTAAGATTCCTCTCAATTTAGATTGATATCCTTTCCCCATGCCTAGGATAGTGCCTAGCATTGAGTAAATCCTCAAATGATTTTGAATGAGTGAATGAAAGAAGAAATAGTCACAAAGCTAAAATACTATTTTCAGGATGGTAATACACCAACCCCCTGGCTTTGAACTATGTAAAAAGGTATGATTCCTCCCATGTCACACTATGTTAATGCTTTAAATTACTAAGCCACAATTCAAACACAATGGGGGGGGGGAGGCAAGGCAAACACTTACATTTAACTTACTTTAAAAGTCTATAATAGGCAAACCGGAACAATTCTTGGATAAAGACTGAAACTAATACTCCAAAGATCAGCAGGTATTTCGGTGTTGGTTCATCTTTGTTGCCAGTAATGGCTCCTGCCAGGAACCAAATAAAGGAGGAAAACAGCAGAGACACCAACCAAAAGAAAGCTCTGAAAATTAGGGGAAAAAACAAAAGTATGAATGAAGGCACCTATAGGTTTAAAAGCAAAATAAATAAGTAAAAGCCCTGCTTGAGAAAGAACAACTTCCTGACTCTTTAGTAAGGAAAAAAGTCCTCATAAAGTGATGTTCTAGATCAACTGTTCTGGATCAAATGATCCCTTTTCCCCTGATGAGATGAATAAGTAGTGCAGGAAGAATATGAAATTTTTCTTACAAATCACTGCCTTTCAGTGAGTGTGCAATTATTTGTAAGTACATCTGCAGACTTGTTATGCCAAGGACAGTCTAGCTGGAAACTATTTGCTACTTTTCCTAATTGGCCCTTTGTGCATTGATGTACAAGTATATCCTTTCCAGAAAGATGTCTCCATCTTTATTAACAGTGATGGGTAGAAAATTCAGTAGCTAAGAACCTTTTTTTGTTTTGGCTTGGTTTGGTTTGGTAGGATGGGAATGGTATGGATTTAATTTATTTTTTAGTTCTACAATGTTCCTATTTAAAAGCTGCAGGTAAAAGGGTGTTGCAGATTTTGTACTTTAGTCTCACTTATTGTCTGAGACAGCTGGGGAAGAGGTGAAGGCACCCAGGTAGATGTGGGGAGGTATGGCCTTGGCTCCCCACTTAGCGGGAATGGGATGGGAGTGGGAAGAGCTTCAGTCGAACTCTTTCCCTTTCCCATCCACCTAGAGCGCTTTCTTCGTACAAGGCCCTAAAAATATCCTCCTTCTATCACAGGAAGGAGGGTAAGTGCAGCTGCGGAGAAGGGGATTTGAAGACGCTTTAAAAAGCTTTTGCCCAAATCTATTGCTGTTAAAACATGTGATCCTGCAATTCACTTGCAATACAGTGGTGAGTGGTGAAGATGCACAGAAAAGGTGGGGAAAACTGGCCTCGTCTGGTTGTTTCTCCTTGGTGACAGTAAGGTCAGGGAGGAGGAGGACACAGGGAGCCAGTCCCACAAAAAGGGGTCAGACAGGTGAAAACTGGGATGATGGCCACCTTGGCCACGAGTGTTCGGTATTTACCAGGCTCTTTCAAGGGTATTTTGGTATATTTGGTGTTTTCACAGGTTTCCACCCTTCACTGCATATCAGAATCACCTGGGGCGCTTTTAAACAGACAATCAGCCCCAATCCCACCCCAGACAGCCGAATCAGTGGATCCCGGGTTGAGCATCTGTGGGTTCTAAAGTACCTGGCCCGCAGGTGCTCGTAAAGGTTCTTAACGCCTTTGGGATCACAGCTGCCAGTGAGAGTGAGGCAAACAGGGGCACGTTCCAGAAAAATCAGAGATGCGTATTTGAACTTAGCCACATATTTCCCCACACACCTCCAAGGCCTCAAGATTCTGTAAAGCCCACCCACAAACCTAGGCAGAAAGAAGCCAAAACGTCAGCGGTTTCTGAGACCCCCAGCAGGAGCGCCTTCCCCCGCGGCCGCCCTCTGAGGTGGCGCGGCTCTAGCTTTCCCGCCGACCCTAGGAGGACGACGGGTCCCAAGGAAGCGGGACCTCGGCTCGGGCCCCCTCAGCCCTCCTCCCCTCGGAAACCCAACCAGGTCGAGCCGCTGGGTGCGGACGCCGGGGGTCGCCGGCGCCCTCGGTGGGGGAGGGAGCCCCGAGTCCGGGTTTCCCGGTGCAACCGCCTCACCCGATGATGAGGAAGATGATGCGCAACGGTTCTGTGGCAATGGTGAAGACGTAGAGGGCGAGCGCAGGCCCGAAAGCAATGAAGGCGCAGCCGAAGAACACAGTCGCCGTCATGGCGACCAGAGAAGCCGGCCGGGGGCCAAGCAGGGAAGGGTGGTGCGCCCAGCGCCCGCAGAGGTGAGCGCGGAGTGGGGCGGGGCGGGGCGGGGCGGAGATGGAGGCCGGGCGGGGCTGGGGGCGGGG